GGGCATGGTGGTGCAAGGACTGCAAATTCAAGCACAGATTGAGCAGTTTAGTGACTTGTGGCGAAACAAAACAATTTTAAAAGGGTTGATACAGCTCAGTGTGATGGCGCCAGGTTCAATTCTCAGTGCTACAAAACAAAACAGAAAACAAAAAGAACAGAAGGCCTACTAACAGGCAAGCTGAAAAAGACTGTACCCTTACCAGCGCTTTGAGGGGGAGATAGGACCCACCTAACTACAACTCATTGGCAGACATCATTCAAATACCCCTGGCTGCAAGGGATTCTGTGCAGTCACGTACTTTTAACTGGCCATGGTTCAGCTGTAGGAAAGAAAGAGGGATAGTGGCTGGGCATCCAGCTATTTCCTCCTCACAGGGTGATGTGGAGACCAATCATCCTCAAGAATCAAAGTATCCTGAGCAGAGAAAAACAATCCTAGTTCTGTGTTTAGAAGCTTTCTTCACTGTATTAAATCACACTAATGTAGGCAGAGGGTGGAAAAATGTGAAAGTTTGACAAAAACATTCAAACAGCAGATCCACAGGAAAAACACTGAGACCTGGGTGACTTCACACCTATGGTCCCCGAGGACTCACAGGTTTAACTGGTGATTCCTCTGACTCATGCTGTTTCCCTTCCTCCTTCTCACTCCCAGAGTTAATTTAGAAAACCCATGGACTCCTTAGACTTTCCTATCATTCACAAGTATCTTTTTTTTTTGTTGTGTTTTTTTTTTTCCAGCATCAGGAATCAAACTCACGACCTTGCGCTTGCCAGGCAGGCACTGGGCCGCTGAGCTAAATCCCCAGCCCCTATCATTCACGAGTAAAAGCAAAGCAATTCAAATTCCAACTCAAATAAAATAAAGTTCTACTGTGTGTTGCTGTTCTTAGCATCTTCCAAAAAAGATAATGGACACAGAGCATCATTTGTCAAACTGCAGCTATACTGTCAAATTACTATGTGAAGAGAGGAGGCCACAGAATTTTAACCTGATTTCATTTTCATTGAAATAAATTTAACAAACTTTCCCCATAAGAAATTCATATAACTTTGTAGCCATGAGATGGCATCCATGCAAAGTACTATAGACAGAACTGTAACAAAGAGCCAACGAAAGGGCTGCAGTAAGCTAGAATCACGGGTACAGAAAATAAGATAACACAGGCACACTTAGTGATATGGTATAGTACATTCATACTACAAACTGGTTAACACACTAACACACTTCCCAGGGGACCTTCATAGATCTGTCCAACAACAGCTTTGCCTTCATAAGAACGTGGTCACTTATTTATGAACAGACTTGCTTTAGTCTCTCTTACCAAATGAAATAAATTTGCCCTGTTAAGAAAAGTACACACATACTACAAATGAGCATACCTTCTTTTCTGAACATGTGTTTTTATGTAAAATGCTTGATTTCCCTAAATTGAAGGAGAGGTGAAAATAACCAAATATACTACAAAGTTCAGACGGTGTCTATGAAACATACAGCCAACTCCAAACACTATAGTCCTTGATCTTCCTCCTACCTGACCCACATTTGAGCCATGAACCCTGGCCAGAATGCTATTTGAGTCTGTACAATTCCTTCAGTCATGGACATTTTTAGGTGTACCACTGTACAGAAACCACTAAATGGTCTTTCTGTTCTTAACTCCTTACACTTGCCAACAAAAGCAAAGATGCACATATAAGCCAGTCAAAATATGAGTCAACTCAAGTACCAAGGGAATACATAACCCACGTTAAGTTGCAAACTATACAACACACCCATGTGGACCACTTACACCCCAAACCCATATTTCAGAAATAGAAATTATTCAACTGGTATAGACTGCTGCACATGTAATTGAAACCCTCAAATGTCCCCCAAAACTGCCTGACAAGTATGCAAATTTAAAATTCCTAGAAGAGCCCACTTTTTAAAGTCCAGTTGTTTCACTACCTTCAAAGTGAAAAACAACATAGAGAGTGAAGCAAAAGAAACTCTCACCCCTTGGCTTTTTAAAACATTAGCATCTAATATCAAACTAGCACCAATAGTAATTATATTTGAAATAATATATATTAAAAAATGAGTTGTATTTTGTAGAATGAATTCATTCAGTTTAGTTTTTCTAAGCCCTGGCTCCACATTCATCTTTGTGATATATACAAAAAAAGCTGCCAATATTTTAGTTTGGAAAAAAGTTCTGACACACACCATAATACATTTGAGAAACAAATCACATAACACAGATGAAAGAACTGTGCAAGCCCAGACCAGTTTTTGGACAGTGTCAGTTCTGGAACAGTTTGGTGATTTATCTAATTATGAAAATTATCAACCTTTAATTGAATAGAACTACTGGCCATAGGACATTTCGCTTTTAAATAATGCCAATTGTCAAATTGTGACACTAACCTTAACAAGCTGAATTTCTTATTTATTTATGTATTTATTTAGGGGGGGTCAGGGAATCTAACTCCGGACCTTGAGCTTGCCAGGCAGGCGCCATGCCACTGAGGTACATCCCTGGCCCTGAATTTTATATTTAAACCCATCTATCTGGACCGTGGTTTGTTTAAAAACAAAACAATAATTATGGCTCCCTAAAAGATTTTGTAATTGGCTACTCAATTATGATTTTTTTTCTTAATTTTAGAATACAACTTTTTAGGGAAACCTCTGGAAATAAAAAAAACACATAGTGCTTCTTGCTTATATTTTTACCCTGAAGTGATGGTTCTTTAACAAAGAATCAAGTTATGGACCCAAACATGAATGAGTATGCATTCATTCATTGTTCTGAAAAGGTAATTCAAGCCATGCCAAAGACATTAAAAATATCTTTGAAAAGACAGAACTTTGAATCAGGTTTTGCTATAGTTAACAGTTTGAAAATTGTGCTGCTTGAGATACAGGTACCTTTAAAAATGGGAGAAGAAAAACCTCCACAGTTAATTTTAATGTAACATTAGCAATATAATTAACTACAAAATAAAACTATTTCAGGGGCTGGGGATAAAGCTCAGCGGCACAAGTGCCTGCCTGGCAAGCGCAAAGTCCTGAGTTCAATTCCCGGTACAAAAAAAAAGTTAAAAAAAAATTTCATAGATATAAAGGACAGATTTCATAACAAATGGCTAGGCAATAACTTGGAAAACATTACCTTGTCCTGATTTCTCTCATATGGTATAATGAGTAACAAAAAGACTACATAGACACTTAATTAACTCTCCCTCCATGAACTTCTTCCCAAGTACTGTTTATGACACTGTACATTTGAGATTAAGCATTACTGGCCTGAAATTACAGTGTGGCCTGGATTTTAAGTCTTCTCCCTCCAGGCCAGCTGAGTCTTACTTTTAAAGTAGCTATAGAATAGCTATCATCAAAAGAAATTTAACCAAAACCTGATCCCACTTTTCTCAACAACTCATCTTTCAAACACTATCCTTTAAAGGCACTGTGTTTTACTATACCACATCTGCTCTCATGAACACAAAGAGTAACAATGGTTCAAACTGAGTATGTAAAATGACTGTTATTACTACACTCCATCAAATTTGGTATATTCAAGTCCTTAAGGTAGGAAAGAAAGAAGAAATCTGAATTTGACACATTAAGATAACACTAAAGATATTTTTTGCTTGGTTGAGTGCTTTTTGCAGCTCCATCTTTTGGTATTACAAGCTGCAGCCTGAATGATTTGTCAGCCAAGACTACAGTGAGCTCATACTAACCCACAGGAGCCCCATAATTTTTCTACTGAAAAAAGAATACTGGAAAACACAGTACGCTTTACATACTTCCCATAGAAGATAAATAGAAAAGTCCTGTTCATCATCGTTGTAGAGCCACTATCAATTTCTGTATCTGAGTACAAAACACAAACCAAAATTGAAATGTTTTCATCTTTCCAGTACAGCACAAGTTCCCATTTCAAAACGCCTGCTCTTTAACCACCTCTGCTACTTAGTTTTTTCTGGAACTAAGAACAATACAGACCCAGGTGTTTTCACAAACACGACACTGCTTCCCAATCGTGAACTCTATCATCTAGCTGGAAAAATAAAGAACCCATCACTAAAATCCTTTATCATACTTCCTGACTGTGGTTTACTGGATGAAATGTGGCTTTTCTTTCCTATCTCCTGGAAAAATGCCCTTTTGCAGCTTTTGACTCACAATTAAGTTCACTCCCATTTCCGCCAGACCTGGCAATGGTAGGATCCTTACTCTGAAATTGTGGTGAGAGAAAGGGAGAACTTGACTCAGGACTCTCTGCCTGGAACTTTTTGTTTTTCGTTTTTGCCTGCTCCAAAAGAAAGAGCCTTGAAGGACCTTTTAACCAGTGTCTGAATCTTCCCCAGGGAGTAAATCACGCCCAGTGAGCGACCTGCGCACACAAAATCTCCAAGCAGGAAAGGGGGTTTGAAACAGGAAATAAACAAAAATAATATTCTTCCACTTCTGTAGACCGTCTTTTTCCTCCCGATAAACAAGTGTTTTCTCTAAAATACCAAACAGACTTTGAAGTCAAGTTGTCTTTGCATTCCTCTCCCCAGTTATCTCTGAAAAGAAAGGTTTGTTTTAGTCCCAAATGTTGAGAAATTCAAATCCTGTGCTGAGGGTTTGTACGCCATGCCTCCCACCACATTTCCCTGTTAAAACTCCGCTCTCTAAAAAATGATCTCTGCAAACACAAATGCCAGCCCTCATCCTTCTCTCCAGCAACCCGGGGAAACAGATCTGAAAGACTGTCAGCAGCCTTGTTAACCCTCCAGTGCCGTCGGCGTTGCGAGGGATTCCCGGGTAGAATCCGGGCGCGACCGCAGCAGGAGACCCAGAAAGGTGCCCCAGAGACCAGTGCTCCCACAAGCATGTGCAACACACCCCAGAATTTCTCACATCCCGACTGCACTACAGACAGAGAAGAGCGTTTTACTTCGGTAGAGAACAATAACGTGAATAGCCTTTCAATTACACAACACAAAATGTATACATACACAAAACTTTTTCTCCCAAGAGCTTAATGTCTGAGTCGCCGATTTATAAACGCCCCTGCCATTTCCAAGAGCCCCACAAGCGCTTCGCCGGCTGTGGGGAGCCAGGGCGCGGGGTCCCGGGGCGCAGCCGGCCCGGCGCGTCCAGCCGGAGGCGTTCTCACAGGGACGCGGGTTCGGGCCCGAGTCCCCTCCCGCCCGGGCCGGGTCTGAGGGCGGCAGAACCCGGCGGAGGAGGCGGCCCGGCCCCGCGCCGTACCTGGGCAGAGCGCCACAGCTCCGCTCCCGACGCCGGCCTCCCCGGGCGCCGAGTCCCAGCTCCGGCGTGGCGTGCACAGCGCCAAGGCTTTCCCGGCGTCCACGCCCAGCAGCCTTAGCCAGGACAGGAATCCAGGCGGCCCGGTGCTGCAGCCCGCAAGGGAGGGCCCAGGTGCCTCCTCTTCCCACCGCTCCTCTGCGCCTCCCCAAGGAAGGAGCCGCGGAGCGTCCGCGAGGGCGGGGCAGCCCGGCCTGTGCGCGTGCTGATTGGCCCCGAGGAAAGTCACTCAGCGGCGTCGAGGGCCGTGCGCTTTCCGCGGCAGGCGAGAGTGGGCTGGAAGTGGGTGTGGCGAGGAATCGCTGCTTTTCCTGCTGTCCCCGAGGGAAGGAGGTAACGGAATGGGACGGATCCTGGGAGTCTGTAACTTTCCTCGGGCCATTTACGACATCCCGGATCAGAAACGGAACCAAGTCACTCAAGCCGTCCCTTTCAAGCGAAACAATTGCTTCTGTGTCACAGGCAGCTGCGAGCCCCGCGCTGCGCGGGTCAGAAAATGGCCAGATTCAAACGCTGCCAATGCGGGGAAGGCGGTGCCTCCGCCCGGCCGTCCGGGCCTGCTGGGGTTCCCTCTGAGCGGAACTTTAGAACTTGCGAAGTATTTGGCAGTGATTGGGAAGAGCGTCCCAGACATGCCCACCCAGCTCCGTATTATCAACCATCGGGCTGCCTTTGATTTTAGCTGTGAAAAATCACTCCATACAAGTTTAATAGGGAAATAAAATGGAATCTCCGAGAGTTAAAAAGAAACCTTTTTAAGGACCTTAAGGCTGTGGTTTTAATGTATAGTTGGAAAGGGGAGGGGGAGAAAACGCAACTGAGTTCAAGAAACTATATGAGGATTAGGACTTTTGAATGGACCCATTTCAGTGGCTGAGATATTAATTAATTAGGAATTAACTAATATTTACCCTTGAGGGATACCACCCAATACAACCCCTTTGGCTGAGGAAACAGGACGATTCCCTGGACACTTTCTTTCAGTTTACCCAATATTTGACTCAAAACATAACTGAATGGGGGAAGGTGGCTTTTTGTATAAGGAATGTAAGTAGCATATTACCTAGCAAGTTCTAGAAGTACAATTAATTACTGACTTTCTGTTGGCTTTATTGTTTTATGATTGATGGCATGTCATGCATTTCAGTCTTCTGCCAAAAATTGCAGAAGGATCCCAGAACCCAGCATTATGTCCCGTGTAACTCTCACAACCACACAGAGTGTTATTAACTTGATTTGGGAGCGGGGTATCTTTTTGAGACAGGGTTTTACTATACAGTTCAGGCTGGCCTCAAACTCGCAGCGATCCTTCTGCCTCAGCCTTCCGAGTGCCAAAATTACAGGCATGCACCACCATGCCCAGTGTATCAACTTGATTTTAACTCAAGAATTCAATGGCCCAGCACAGTTATATAAGTAAATTACTCCAGATCGCTTAGGAAAGATGGAAACCAAGGTTGATTTTGTTACTGGCCACTTAAAAATTACTCTAGATTGCTTAGAAAAGATTGAAGCTAAGGTTGATTTTGTTACTGGCCACTTAGGCTCACACTCTTAGGTTTATCTACTCACCGCTGATCAAGTCAAAGGAAGCCATACAGGTAAAAAGGAGAAAAAATTTACTCAAGGGGGCTAGCTCTAAGAAGATGGAGGCAAGTATTTCAGTCAAATCACCATCTCACTGTGCAGGTGGGCAAGGGTCTTTATAGTAGGAAACAGAGAGGAGGGGAGCATAGAGAGTGCAAATCTGTGCATTTTATCACTTCCAGCCATCTTCAGTTCATGGTCCCCTTTCTCATGGGATGGAAACTAGGCTCCAGGCTTCCTGGTGTCAACATCATATTCTTTTCATTCATCAGGGCGTAGGCCTCAGAAAGCCATTTGTCTCTACAGAAAGAAAAAAAAATTCCATTTTTGGGACCCGGGATATAGCTCAGAAGTACAGCACCTGCCTGGCAAGTGCAAGGTTCTGGGTTTGATTCCCAGTACCAAAAATAAATAAATAAAGTTCCATTTTGCAGTGGCTGTCACAATTTGACAGATCATGGCCATCCTTCCTACTAATGTGTACTGTGCACACCTCTTTAGAGGTCTTGGAAACAGCTAAAGAGCATTCCTCATAAGCAGTAACCTCTCCTGTGATTTCCACCTGCAACAATTTCAAGTAAGGCTCATTTCAAATAATATTTCATGGCTCACTATTAATCAGAGTTATTCACTTTGACATTGTGGTGCACCCCACTTCCTGGACCAGTGCCACATGTGATTCCTACGCCTCACCTAGAACCATTTATTTCTAACTCACTCACCTTTTAATGGAAAATCATTAATTTACTATTTCTTTATTTAGTCCCTCTTAATTATTAACTACAGTTCTACTTAATCAGGACTCACATTTTAAGGTAATATGTTTACTTCAATCCAGAAAATTCTATCTAAGAGGACTAAGTGGAATGAGTTTTAGCTAAAGCAGATATAAGATGAGAATGGGTCAACTGGTTTAAACAAATGCTTTCACTGAAGGAATTATCTTAATAAGTTAAAACAAGCTTCTGATAAATAAATTTTTGGGCTAGAACACCTATCTCCCAGTTCCTATGAAAATTAGGTTATTTGCAGCTTTCTGTTGCACCTCCAGATTCTATTTTCAGAAAAGCCTTTCCACAGAAAGATGCCGACACTGCAGCATCTCAATTTCCAGTATTTAATCTGTTAATCTGCCTGGTTTATTAAATCAGCCAAAGTATTAAGGAAGTAAAGAGAAAATGTCCCAACCCTCACTTTACCATATCTGTCTTTTTTAATGGGATACAGTTTTTAAAACTAGAATAATTTTATCATAATTTATATGATAAAATAAATTTGCCATAAAACATGATAAAACAAATGGGTTTCAGTATGACATTTCTAAACATACATAATGTTTTTATCATGTCCACCCTCCTACCTTCTCTTTCCCTGTCTCCCAGGGGCCCTTTCCCTCTTTAATAGTCCCTCTTCTAATTTCAGGTCATCTTTTTGGGTTCTTTTCCTTCAATTTTCACATATAAGAACAACATGAAAAAATTTATGTTTCTGTGTCTGGCTTATTTTGCTTAACACGATGTCCTCCAGTTTCATCTATTTTCTGCAAATGATAGGATTCCATTTTTCATAAATGATAATACTCCTTCTTGTATAAACCTGAATATCAGTCAGGGTTTACTAGAGGAACAGATATAATACAAGATAAACAAATGTACAAGGAATTACAAGTTTGGCTTACAATGGTCAGGCACAGAGTTGGATGAGGAAGCGTGCAGAGGGTGTCTGCACGCTGGAGACTGAAGAGCCCAGCCCCGGGCCTGGAGCTCACTGCAGTGTCCATGCAAGTCCGTATCAGGAGGCTGATGGGTCTGCGACGGAATGCTGAAGAATCTACAATGAAGGCCAGACAGCCAACACCAGAAGGCTGAAGAGTCTAGATGGAAGCCCAACAGTCTGCACCAGAAACCAGAGACGACCAAGCTGAAGGCGAAGACTGGAGCTCCTTCAAAGAACCAGCAGCCAGTCCTTCCTCAATTCCTTTTTTTATGCAGTCTACCCGCTCTAGGGAGCTGGGGGTCGTGGTCTACACCCACACCCTCTGCATGCCTACCTCTTGCACAGGCTCAGGATGAATACAAAGTAAGCACCCTGGACCCCTTCTGAGTTACATAGTTAACCTTCTAAACTTCTCAAATTAACACAATAAACAACATCCACAAGGGTAAATATTCTTTCTTTCCTCTACTGTAGAGTAGTAGTCCAATTTCCCCTTTTTACCCCAAGATGCAGAACTGCTGAGTCACTTTTTACCCCAAGATGCAGAACTGCTGAGTCACTTTTTACCCCAAGATGCAGAACTGCTGAGTCACTTAGCCAAACCTCTAGACTCCCCAAGTTGACACATGTATCAACCGTAACACTCCACCCATTGTCAACTTGTCAGTCAGACACATTTCTTTAAACCAGTTTCCAGATACAAAGACATGCTTATAATTATGTCTAACATGTTATAACTATCCTACCTACAAACATAAACACATTAATTCCCTTACCAAAATAGAAGGTAAGTTTTCCTTGGGTGATGGTTATTTTTATCATTTCACAACTTGAACAGAATAACACAGTTTAACAATCCTTAAGGACCAGTAGTAAGTCTATCAACATTATATTACATTAGAACCATATTAGGGGAGAAATAGTACAATTACAACCCTCTTTTCCTTAGCTGATCACGGAGTCATAGCTGGTATTTACAACTACCTTCTTCCACTACCCATTCTGCATTCCCTTGGCCTTCAGCAAGCACCTCAACAGGTCTTGGTTCTTTCCCTGGTGGAGTGAACCATACCTTCATTCCTGAAGGCTCTGGGCCATTTCTCGTTGTGCCTATATTAGGTTGTTGTAGTTTCCCATTGATTTTAATGACAGGGCATGGTAATACTAAGAGAC